ATTCTCTCCTCTTGGTGAAAGAGATCAACACAGTTTTGCTGACAGACATCTGCTCCCTCAGGCACCAACTGTGAACAAAGTCCAATGTGCTTTACAGGATATTACAAGCTACCCTTCCGGACGTGGACCTTGCCAGGATTACAAAGTCATCTGCATAAGCTTGCAGATCAACTTTTTTTCTGTCAAGGGCATCAAGCAGATTATTGATCAGGAGCGACCACAGAAGGGGAGATAGTACCCCTCCTTGAGTGCATCCCCTGCTGACCCTGAACCTAATGGCCTCGCCTTGAAGAGCCATAGTTGCAGTTCTGTTTACTAGCATGGCACAGATTTCAGCCAAATATGGTCAATTCTATACCCTTCTTAGCCAGAGACAATCCTATAGATTTAGGTAATGCATTGTCCAATGCTCCTCCAATATCAAGAAATACAGCCACCGCAATCTCCTTGTTGTCAAGGAATTGGGAGATTTTTCTCAACAAGGTTGTTTAATGCTGAATCTGTCGATTTGCCGGTTTGATAAGCATACGGGTGGTTATTCAGGGGGGATGCATATTATATGTTCGTCCAGCACCCTCTCAAGTCTTTTCAGCAGGAAGGATGTATGGTACATGTATGTACATGTATGGTACTCCGACCCACTTTAGGTATATATACCACCCTTGCTGCCAACCAACTGGGTGGTATGTAGTTCCACGCCAGACTAACTCTATACAATTTTTTGAGAATACGTAAAATCATTTTCAGTCCGTTTTGAAGAGAAGCTGGAAATATACCATCCTCTCCGGGAGATTTGAAGGACTGAAAAGACTTCATAGCCTATTCAACTGCCAGTGCTGCCAGTGCCAACCTTCTTGACGACCTCCCAGTTGTTCTATTTTGGGCGTTTAGCGCCTTCGAAGATGGGAGGTCTTTTGTTATCAAGAGTCAGATTTCCAGGAAAGTAGTTTTCTATCAAAAGCTCTAAAGTTTGTTTTTTTTCCTTCCAATTAGTAGATAATATTGAAAACGTAATTTTTCCTGATAATGCAAAATTAATATCGTTTGATGACCAAAATGTATTTCCTAGTATTCCGTCAATTGAAACAATTGGACTGGTTGAGTGTCTCAAAAACTACGTGGATCCACTAATGAAACAGGAATTTTTAGATTCACTTACTATTTGTCACTGAGAGGGAGGTAAATAATTCAATAAATCACCTTGGCTCAACTATTACAAAAAATAACAATGAACATGAACATGATAGTAATCTCCAGAGGGAGTTGAGTTTGATCAAACAAATCGCGGTCAACAACGGTTATAAGGTAGATAATATAGACTCCATTCTTTCCAAAAAACTACAAAAGCAATCCATGGACCTAGTCTACCCAAATTCAAGATGCTATAACGTCAGTTACAGGACATTGTCATATTTGGGTGAACCAACCAGTAATATTGCCCATTTTTTGAAGAAAGAATGCGTAAACGTAGCTTACAAAACGAATAATAGTTTATTAAGTGAATTCATCAAAAACAATAAAGACTAAACTTTGATGCCGAATAGATCAGGAGTATATAGGCTGACTTTTAGCTCCTGCCCAAAACTATATATTGGCCAAACAGGGAGAACATTTCCCCAAAGAGTTAAAGAGGATAGATGAAGTTTTGTAAATAGAAATACCAATTCTACATTTGCAAACCACCTTTTAGCAGAAGGACATGAGTTCAGTCATGAATAGGACGTGTTACATTCAGAAGAGAAGAATTTGAAACTCAATCTTCTAGAATGTTCAGAAATCAATAGATTCAGGAAATAGGGTAATTTACTGAATGATCAATTAGAATTGAATAACTCCCCGTTACTAAATATTTTTTCAAATGTGGAAACTAGGTAATTTAATTCATTACAAACTTAGGTAAAAATCAGGTACTTGAAATGTAGATACTTCAAATTTTAAAATTCGGTATATCAAGCATTGAATATGTAGAATATAGTTAGTAGTAGCCCGAAGAAACCATTGCAATATTTTTACTTACTACTTTATAAACATCATCTTTTAGTACATTAAACCATTAAAAATGTCACTTTTGATGACAGTTGTACAAAAAAGTGTTTTTTGAATATGTTAGTTAGGGATTTTCATTAAAGATCGGCCAATTCCATCATATACCTTTCTCAGTAGCATTTTATTTTCAATCGTGGAAAGTTTAAAAAAATATCCTTATTGGAAAATTGAGAAAAATTTAATTCTCCCTTCATGGATAATAGAAGTTGAGAATCGAAGACCGAAAGGAAGCTTTGAACAAGATGGATGGAACATAAAAAGACAGCTGAATAAAAATCCCAATAAGTTTTTAAATCACTTTATTAAACTCATTTCCAAAATTGTCGAATTGATTGAAATTGACAGAAATTCCTTGTCGAGAATCTCAATTTTTTGTAATGTTTGTTCATTGGAGAGAATATTAGTAATATATTTTGCAATCGATGAGTGCTAACATGAAGGACATGGAAGTATTTGATTTCAACTTCGCTATTATTCATCTTTCATATGAGAATATCATCAAATATCAATAAAATGTTCTTTCTGAATTGCATGATAGAAAAACAGTATATTTTTCTGTCTTAGTTTCCGTTTTTCCAGGTCGCGTTACATAAACTTCCGATTTGAGACATCCCGAACGAACCCGTGGGTTAGGATACCTATCGGGCGAGTCTCCAGGTGGCGGATAGGGAAACGACCAGGGGAGTGGAGGCCTGTCCGGGAATCCAATGTGGACGGGGCTGCCGGACTCCTGGTCAGTGGCAGAAATGTGTAAGGTGAGGGAAACTGAAACCCCACAAAAGACTTTGCAAAACATGCAACTGTGGACCAGCCTACCCAAGCTAAGGTGTAACGAATCGTGCCGACAGCTGAATGGCCGCAGGGTGATATGCGGTCACGAACGATCCCCTTGGGGAATTGGGCGAAACCTCATTGTAATGAGCCTACCTCTGGTAATGCGTGGCTTTGCCAGAGGTGACCAACTCTTCCCTACTCGTGGAAACACACATGAATGGAACAAACACAAAAACAGAAACAACAAAAACAAAAACCAATCCCAAGGCTGGACAGAAGTGCTCACCTCAATCTTAGGCAATGCCTAAGGATGAACAGAAATATCCACCTTAATCTACCACTTGAAATGAGGCTAGATATAGCAGATTACCTCGTGATTTAATACCAAGGCCAAGGCGTAAGCCATGTAGCCGGAGCATTATGGAGGCCAAAGGGCATTCGTTTAAACTGGAACAAACCTCGTGTGGGAACAACAAAAGCAGTTAAGGGTCTAGAGAACTGTGTGATAGGAATTTGCCAGTAAGCACTTTTAATAGAAATCTAGCATCTCTTAACATCGAACTCATGAATGGGATTGGATATGCATCTGGTTGACTTAGTTCGTTTGATTTATTATAGTTAACACAAAACAGGTAACGACCATCACGTTTTTTATGAGAACTATCGGCGATGCCCACGGTGAAGTCGATCTGCTCTAGTTCGAGGTTAACTTGTTTTTGGAGAGCTAGAGACAAAGGATAACGACGTTATTTTATAGCGGGCGAAGTGGTATGAATCTCGTGCTCTACAATAGTTGTACAGCCCAAAGATTGACACATTTCACGAAAAGTAGTTTCAATGAGCTCATTCAGTTCAGCCCTCTGTTCAGCCAATAAGTTATCTATAGTTCGTATAGCATTGATTTGGGGGGTGCTAAATTCTTGTCTGATGGAAATGACCATTGTCAAGAGTAAAGCTCTGGGATGATACCGAACCGTTGCCAAAAATCCATTCCCAAAATCAAAACATATGAAATCGATGGCACCGCTAAGGCTTCAACAACATTCACACGATCATAAAGCTGAATAGGAATATTTATCGTACCTACTACATCACACTTCTCAGCAGGAAGGCTCCCTCAGTTGTACACCTCCACGGAGGGAACCCCAAAAATGTTGAAGAAGCCGTGCAACGACAGTATTGTCGCTGCACCTTCAGTAATGTCGTTGCACCTTCCAAAACCTTCGCGGAGGCCACCGTGAGACATCTCAAAGTTGCCAAAGAGAGTGTGTGTTCGGCGAGTCTTGGTTTACACCTGCCAATATAATGGAGATATATCCTAGTGACCTATGCATTTTTTGGAAGCCATGGGAATTAACAGATCAATTGAAAACCAGAAATATTTACCCCTAAACGAGCAACTAGAGTAATGTAGGTCTCCACTCCTGAATTTATAAGCTTAACAACTACTATAATCTTCAGTGTTGAATTTTAAAGTGGGCACCCTGGTTCATATAACTACTTGTCGATCAGCTTCCTGTCTTTACAGCTCACCTGAAAACTCCCGATATAACCGACTTTCTAAACTTCACATTTTAGTTCTATACTTGATAATGGGGTTAAACCCAAAACCGGTCGTATAAAAAAAATGAATTGATGGTAATTAGACAGAAGTGTTTTTATTCATTTCATTAAAGAGATTTGCGGCAACTGCTTCGACTTCCACTTTGGAAATATTAGGTTGTTTCGTAAGTTTTGTCCGTTTTTATGAGTCTACTCCAAAGTGTAATATATCGGTGAATACTCATTTGATTTAATCGAAATGAGCGTAATTTGAATCATTGCACTTTTGCCAACGTAACACAAGTCGAATAATTCAGTCAACATGAAATTTGTGTGCTCGGGTGCCATTTTGCATGGTCCTGATTGGCCGAGGTTCTATAGGTGAAACAGTTATCAAAGTGCTTTGAAAGATGGTAGTCGGTTGGAGAGAGGTCTGAAGAGTATGGTGGGTGAGACAGAGCTTCGATACTCAATTCGTTCAGTTTGAATAAGTATTCACTGATATATTACAGTTTGCAGTAGACTCTTGAAAACAGACAAAACTTTCGAAACAATCTAATATTCCATTGAGAAATGGAAGGAAATCAGAGATAGAGATACTATCATTGTCATCAAGAATTAGTAATTTTCACAATTACCTAGCTACTCTTCTCACATGGGAATGTTCCAGAACTTGACTGACAGAAACCAGAGGAAGGAAGAGCTGACAGAGCTTGTTGCAGTGTTTTAGTAGCCTCTTGAAACTGTCGCCTGATTTCCTTCAATTCTTCGGAAGGTATGATGCTTGTCACCGAACTTGAAAACAAAAATATATTTCAGAAAACTTAACAATGTTGCAAAACAGCGCGATATGACTGGTGAATGGTATCTTTCTAATTAGCAAAGGTCTAAGACCGGATTAGTTTCGAGATAAGTCTAGCAGACATTCCTAACATTGGCAGTGTAACATTTTCCTTAACCACGTTTTTGACACCAGGTAATAATGAAAACTTACGACCATTTGGAACCAACAACTGGTAATCGCGACTTGGCAAATGACACACTCTTCACGAAAAGTTTGATTCTTCGACACAATTGGCCAGGCTAGTACGGAGATACAGCTCGTCAAACCTAGGAAGTGACTCCAAAGTCTCGGCTTAGGACCTCCTCTAGGATGCGCGTGGTAGAAACCCCTTCTGTATCTGTGTAGACGGGAGTGTAGGCTCACAGCACTTAAGCCACATGTGAACCGTCGTACATCCTCCCAAGGAGTTGTCCTCCTAGGTCATCGTCCATCCTGTCCTTTCCAGGAAGGTGGACAGGTTCCTGGGAGACATCTCCTTTATATCGGCAGGTGTAGGCCAAGACTCGCCGAACACACACTCTCTCATTGATGATAACTCCGGACATTCGCATAGGACATGGCTGACAGTTTCATCTTCCTGTTTACACACATAGAGGTGTCCACTAGTCCCATATTGTGGAGGTGTTTCCTTAGTTGACAGTGCCCAGTCAGAAATCCTACTGTTAAGCGTTGAGTTTTTCTGGTCATCGCCAGATATTTCTTCGGCGCCAGGTTCCCAGGGTCGCCAAAAATGATCCTGGCAAGACTGCAACCTTTGATTTCATCTCGTTAGGGATTGATCATGGGTGTAACGTTTGGCTAGTTCCGCAATTGTCAAAGTCATCAGGCCGTAGGTGCCACTGAATCCTAAAATTCTCAATTCTCAGTCCAGCCGCTTCCTTGACTAAAGAGTCGGCAATGCGATTACCTTTACTCCTGTCGGTGAAGTGGACACTACAAGATTCCTCAGAGCACAGACTTTTGTCTGTGCTCTGAGCAAATGGCATTCGAATCGAAATTGAAACAAAATGTTTTGTGTGGTCAAGCGAGGGAACTGATTCCTAATGTACTTTTTTTCATGCAACGAACACCTGATAATGGTAACATCATGGACCTGAAAAAAATTTAAGTGCGTTGTGCAAAAGCAGCGGGTGTAAGTCATCATCTGGAAAACTCACCGAACTACAAAAGATCGGACCGAACAGAAATTTCGTAACAAGTGGAGGAGCACATATTGAATATGTGCACAGACCACATGACGCCGAAGTACACCTTTGACACAAAATTCATGGCCAAAATCATAAGCCGTGAGTAGTGGATGACCATTAGTCATCACGAAAACATGTTTGGAAGAAACACCTGGTATACAGATGGATCGAAGACCAAACATGGAACGGGAGCTGGAATATACCGAGCGGATAGAAATTCAAACTACAGCTAATTTTTACAGACAGCAAGAGCGCACTAGGGGCTCTGACAAACCCGAAGGTGACATCAAAACTGGTCTGGGAATGCCATGAAGAACTGAATGAACTTGCAAACAGGAACAAATCAACTTTGTACTGGATGCCAGGGCATTCAGGAATCACAGGTAATGATAAAGCTGATGAATGCGCTAGACGCGAATCATCAACTTCATATATAGGTCCTGAACCAGCTCTGGGGGTATCAAAATCACTGGTACGAAACCAGATTAGGATATGGACCAATAAGAAGCACACAGAGTACTGGACAAAAGTATCTGGCAACAAACACAGTAGAACCTTCATTGAGGAACCGTCCGAGAAAAGAACCGAAGAACTACTTCTTCAATGGAGACCTCAGCTGCAGATTATGCAACGAAGGGATAGAAACAGCTCTACACATCTTAGGCGAATGTGAGGCACTGAATCACAGGAGGCAGGCAATATATGGACGTATGAAATTACGTCCAGAAGAATATGACTAACATCCAACACGGAATCTGTACAAACTAGTACAGGGAACGAGACTGATGGAATGGGTGTCATGAGAAGATGGGAGAACAAACGCAATAAGCCCAAGAGGCTGCAGTGTTTCCTGGAGACTTGGACTAAATGAACGAGTCAGACAGCTCCCAAGGTACAAAAAAAAATCATCATCCTCTTTTCCAACGCCTAATGAAAAAAGACATAGAAAAGCATAAAAAAAAATATTTCGATGATTTCAACAAGGGCATTCTTCGTCGATGTATAATCAATTATTACATTACACCTTACGTCGCACACATAAAAAGTTCGTTGACGAAAATGGTTACGAAGGATCTTATAAGTCTCTGAGGAAAGTGATGAAGAAAATAGGGTTCAGATGAAGGGAAATGAAGGAAAATGGAAAATTGCTCAAGGAAAAACCTGCGATTTAGCAGTTGCGGAAAAATTTCCTCAGAGAGATGAAGAAATACCGTGAAGAATTCATATGGATGCTTCACATACACATGAGAAGAGTTGGAATGATGATATGAATGAAGGGTTGATTGTACTAATTTCAGAAGGGCAGAGACTTATAATTGTGAATGCAGGAGAAGAGAATGGATTTGTGAAAAGTCTTATCTAAAATTGAAATCCAACACAACTATCATAGCTGAATAAATTACGACAATTAGAAAAATTGGTTGCAATAAATGGTAATTTCCAATATTTCCCATGCCCCATACCATAATGTTCAGTATAAAGAGTGTTCAAACATGTCCTTGATGAAAGATGAGATGAGAGGATGGTTGAGACGATGGAACATTCACTTCACGAATGTTATGCTAGAAATTAATCTCTATTCCATTATTAAAATTTATAAACCACGATTCAAGTTGTATGAAATGAAAAGCACCCAAATGACCAATGAATTGTTTCAAGTATTGTGAATAGACGGTTGAGGATACTAACAATAGTGACGTGAATCATTGACTTGAAATCGCTTCAGAGTCTTCAGAAGGTCAACGATGTCAGTGGAGAAGTTATCAAAGACTTAATACAGTTAACAAAAATCTGCATGAAACAGAATTGTTTTCAGTTCAATAACTGTTCCAACAGACATCTTGAGGCATAGAAATGGAAAACCCTCTGTCCCTTCATCGCTAATCTGCTCATGAGCAGATTTGAATTGGAAGCAAAAGATAAGGTGGATTACTTTCCACGAATTTGGATGTGACATATAGACGATGTATCTGCATATTTTGATACAAAGAAATCTAAGAGAGGGGGCTATCAATTTTTTTCTTTGAAACATATCGGAGGTCTTGTGACTCCTGGCTCAGAAGTTATTTCAATTATGTATTCAACGACCTTCACTGTTGCAGAGTTATTGATGTATGAATTAGGAAATATTATGAATCGTAACTTTGCCACCAAAATTTTCATTTATTCCGTATAAAACTACCAAGAAGGATTATGCTGGTTTGAGGAAGTTAATAAAAATGTTTGAGTAAGAATTGATAAAAACTTTTGATGATAAGTTAACGCTTGAGGAAGCTGTGGTATAGCGAAACACGTGTCGCGGTTTTGATAGTGAAAATCATACAATAAACTATATTAATTAGTTATAAGAAAATATGAATATTCAAATAATGATAATTTGATAAGCATTATAATTTGTAAGAATAACCTCTCATTCCTGATTATATAACATATCCAGTGGAATTTTTTTGAAACATCTTCAAAGTTAGTTATCAAAGGTTCCAAAATGGTGAGTTTGGTAATGAAATCGAAAGGAGTAGAGTATAGAATAAGTTTTTGTGGTTAGGTTGGGTTAGGTCAAAAGTGACTGGATCTATTTGACCCTCCAGTGCAACCCGCAAGGGTTTATTGTGACTCACACCTGTTCAAACTCGACCAAATGAACTCTCAACGAAGCCGATTGGTTTGTATGGTGAGTGGTCTTTCAGGTCAGACAGATTTTGTACCTGCGCCGCTATGGACTTGATTCGGTCCATAGCAGGGCAGGCACAAAGTATGTGCTCTGCTGTTTCATCATTTTTCCAAACAGAGGCGACACACACTGTCTTCCGACAGTCCGAATATCTGTATATGATGATTCATCTGACAGTGACCTGTGAGAAGGCCTGTTAGACATCGTAGTTCATCCGTACTATAATCCAACAACTGTTTGGTATCAAGCTTCAAAGGGTGAATACACGCTTTGGAGTGAGCCAATCCTGGAAGATTCTGCCAGGAGTTCATAAATCTTCTTGTCATCCAGGCGTTCAATGTTTGTTTGCAAAGCCTAAAGCGATGTTAATGACAGGTTCTGGTCCGATGAAGCTGCTTGCAGCACCCTCCTTTGCAAGAGAGTCAGCAGCTTCATTGCCTTCCAGGCCAGTATGGCCAGGAATCCAGACCAGAGACAATCTGTAAAGTCTTTCTATCGAGGAGAGTCGTTTTTGACAATTTGCTACCGATGTAGACGTTGCTGGGTAGAAGCGAAGAGCTTCCAACACCGCATGACTGTCCGAGAATATTTTTATCAACTTGTGTGTGAGATTGGATTCTTCCAATCTCTCCGCAGACAATTCAATAGCGTAAATTTCAGCTTGAAATACAGTCGCAGAGGTTCCCAGGTAAATTGATATCTCTGTCCTGGGCCTGCGTCTGAAAACACCTGCACCAGAACCTGGAGGTGTTTTTGATCCAACTGTGAATCAACAACTATCTGCACTCCATACTTCCTTTTCACGGATGATCAAGTCCTCTCTACTCAGGTTCTTGTGGTACCCTGGAATTCAACTTATAATATTTGAATTTCTTGAGTAAGAGCTAACAAAATTATGGAACTATTTTTAGTCAACTGTCTTACAAACCTATGAAAATTGTCATAGCGTTTTGAATATATTATCATTCACGAAGTTATTGAAAAGCAATCACTTACTTCATCTCCGGAAAATCTCCAATTAAACGACAGCAAGTTGCGCAATCACTTTTCTTTGGGGTCGGTCTATAAGAGACTCTGGTTTCAAATCCTGATTTGCGGATATCTTCTGCATCATCATTATCATCATCAGCATATTGAGAAGTTTGAAACCTCGAAGATTTTGAACTTCTCGCTTGTTCCTGAGGTTTAGTTTCAACTCTGGATTGGCGGTTATCTCTCACCTCATCTTCATCATCTTCTGCAGTCACAGAGGATATTCTTGACTTCGAAGACAAGGAACTTCTTTTTACTATTTCCTGAGGTGCAAGCACTGTAATGAATATTTATAATAATAATAATAATCTTTATCAATCCCAAGAAACAAGAATGTTCATAACAGAGATGAAATTCAAAATAATGATTGAATAAATTATTTCAATAGTAACATATCAATTAAATGTTCAGCACATAAATATATAAATACAAACACATATGTACATACACATATACATATATACAAATATAAATTATTATCATTATTATTTATTAACTTCAGGTACAGTATAAAATATAGTCATAGTAAAAATGAGTTAAGTTAATAAACGAGGAAGTCACATAAACTGTTTCCAGTTTGTGTGTGACTGTGAGAATCACAATCTGAAAGTTAAAATCACGTAAACAATACTAATAATATAATAAAAATACAACATTCATTTTCAACCCTAGATATATCCTTATATACACTCACATTAGTTAACATTGAATGCGAGTCACAAAAAGGATTTGAAGCTTTATAACTTCTATTTAATTCTCTGCGAGCGCTTTCGATAGCTGGTCGTACTGTCATCATCTAGGCACTACTCAATCTGAACGTGTCATCCTGTTGTATGTCTTTTTATACGGTCCGAACGCCTCAATTCAGGTACACCAGGTATTTTAGGTAAATTTGCCTGTATTTGGGTTACATCAGGTACTATTCTATGTGTTGGATCTTCTTTAGGTATACTGTTTCAGCATACAAGGTCTAGACCATATTGTCTACAAGAATGTTATATTTTTTGAGGTAGGACGATAGTCGTATTTTTATAATTTTTTCGAAAATTTTGGCTACAAATAGAGAAATCGAGAGGATTGAGATCCGGAGATCGAGCGGGCCAGTTCTGTGGTCCTCCTCGACCTATCCACTGATTTGCATATGTTTCAGTTAAATGCTGACGTGCTACTTGACTGAAATGGGCGGGAGTCCCATGATGCACAAAAAAAATATCCCTTCTGACGCCCACAGGAACTTCCTCCAGCAGTACTGGATGTACTTCTTCTAAAAATTGAACGTATCCCTTACCATTTAATCGAGGAGGTAGAAAATGAGGCCCAATTGAATCAACCCCAAAAACTCCGAGCCACACGTTAGAAGAAAACTGTTATTGATAGCGTGAGGGTTTTCATCAGCCCATATGTGGTAATTATGAAAATCAATAATCTTGTCTCGAGAAAAACTACATTCGTCTGTGAATTCTATCGTCTTCTAATCATTTCCAGCATCCAATTGCAAAATTCAAGACGGTTCGGAATGTCTCGCGGTAACAGTGCCTGTATACCGTCATATGATCAACATTTAGCTGGGAAGCAATATTTCTAGTACTGGTAGTAGGTTATTCTTCAATCAAATTAAATACTGCTTCCTCAATCTGTGGTGTTCGTACTTCTCGATGGCGACCACAATCCTGCGTTCTTTTGTCGAATGAACCATATTCTCGTAATCGTGGCTAAGTGTCTTTTTGGTAGTACAAAATGTCAGGTCAATTTGAATATTGTAACTTTTTTATTGCTTGTGAAAAAAAATTTTATACAAATTTTATGTACCCCCTTTAAGGGGCTGTATGTCAACAAGGGTTGCTCCAATGAAATTCCTTTATATGAAATATCCTTTCTTTTTTTCGGTGAGGAATCACCTCCTTGAATGTTTTACACTTCATTAGTTACACCCTGTATAATACCGTGCATCAATAGGGCAATTGAGGAGGATATAAATTTATTCGAAAACGAAATAGTTTTTCAGCAGGATAGTGCACCTTCTCATTTCTCGACTATTTTTTGATGATCATCTTCCTGGTAACTGGGTTGGCAGAAGAAGTCCTACAGAATGGCCATCAAGGTCTGCAGATCTCATTCCTGTAGATTTCTTTCTACGAAGTCATTTGAAGTCTATGTATGAGATAGAATCAACAACATTGGAATATTTCAGAGAAAGGCATTGCTTCCATATTTGTCGCTAGAACGAATATTTCAAAATGTGGCTGTATAATTTTTTATTTTTCCTGCAAATCATTGTTTCAAAAGTTATTCAAGGTTGCTCGTTTTCAACTCAAATAATTTGTAGGTCTCGAACCATAAGCTTCAGACCATTGTTATATTCTTTGTTAAAATCCGCTCATCATGGATCAATATAGGGTGATCCATTCAACAAAATTGGTGACATATAAATTCTATCACTCTGGCGATAGACTTGTTGAATGATTGTTATTATTAAATCGTATTGTATTATATTGTTAGGAGATTCCGTAATGTTCCAAGGATCATATTCTGCTTGTGTCATAAAAATATTTATAATCACTTTCAAAAGCGCTGATAGTTTCACTTTTTATGCTCACTGTCAACAGTATATGTCGACCGCACACTGAATTCTGAGTCATGCAAAGAGGGGAAAGAGAATTGATTTTCCGAAATAAGACCAGCAGCGTTGTGTTTAAGAGTGAGGAGAAAGGGAAGCCAAACATACTGGCACTATCATGCGTTACGTTACCAAGCGGTACACTCTTCCATAAGAAGTTATCACTTCATTAATACTCTCAAAACTTTTATATATAAACATTGAATTATAAAATTATTCAGTTTGTACTCCAAACATCCGTTATGGAATTGAATAAGATGTCATTCAGAGAATCGCTACACAATATAGTGTGACAGTACGTAACGACATTCATTCGCTCATTTGATTAAATCCCAGCCATAGGAATCTTGTTTGAATTGGAAGGTGTAGATTTCCAGGAGGGATTCATTTTTGGAAGTAACTTTCAAACAAAAACTGAAAGAAAAAGCCCTCTCAAAACAATTTCTTCCAAGTAAACATCGACTTAAATTAAAAAAGTATTGAATTATATAAAAAACAATTTCTTCTATACAGTTTGTACTCCAATCGTTTGTTGTGGAATTGAATCAGATATCATTCAGAGGATTGCTATACAATATAGAGTATGACAGGAAAAATCTCATTTACATCAAACACTGTCATCCTGAATGGCGGACATATTTTTCTCTTATGAATTTTTCACAAAATTAAGTAGAGTCAATGAAAAAGTTTCGAAAATATATACAAATCTAGAAAGCTACCTAATATTAAGACAATTAACAAAAGTAACAGATATACGGTTCCTTACTTGTTGGTGTTTCAGTGAGGGGTGTGAATTTTTTAGCTCGATCCTGAACGTTTGGTTCTTCTTCACGATCTCTGAACGCTGAACTTGATTTACTACTTTTCTTAGGAAGTTTATCATCCATTAGATTATCAGTCACAATTTTGCCTTCCGGTTCATCGTCTCCCAATAAAGAATCTGCAGAATCGACCGCGTCAACTTGTTGTGTTCTTTTAGATGGAATTGGAGTTGATGTTCCTCCGGCTGCACATCTGAATTCGTCAAAATCGTCGTTTTTCGATCTGAAAGGTAGTAGTATGATACAGTTTTGAATTCAGTGACTTTGGTTACTACTTAAGAACTTGACCTGAGCTAAATAGAGGAGATTCACTTTCCAGATCGCTCTGGTAGCACTGGGGTGAAAATAAGTCTGCACAAAGATTGCCTAAAGGGGACACAATCCAACAGTCGAAGACATTAAAACTTCAATGGTCACTGAACAGGTAAGCAATGGTCGAATAAAATGAAGAGACGTGTCAAGAATATATGAGATGCAGACATCTTAGATATCATTCCAAAAGATATCCCAAAGTTCCGTTTCAAAGATATCTCACAGATATGTCTGAAAGAAATTCCTCGGATGTTTTTCCAAGAAATCTTGATTACGTCTTAAAGATCTTTGAGACATCATTATTTGTGACAAAATGGGCGATCTGTGCTGCAAAGTGCTATGATAGGTGAGCCTCAATAAGTAATGAGTTATACTCAGAGCAAGTTTGACTTCTAAATTGAGAGATCTTGAAGAGATGTCTTGATGCGCTGGGCTCACCTCATCCATCTCGCTGAGCCCAGAAAGTTCGTAATCCTCAGGAAAAATCGGCAAGAATTCATAGAATCACTCGAAATCGGAGGGTCTCATTTCACTTGTAATAAAACTATTATTTATTGCTAGGAGGTCATCTACCACTGAAGAGAGGCTAATATATACATATACAGAACAAACATGTCATCAAAAAAGTATTGTGTGTGTCTCATCAGGAAATAACAAAATTGGTTTCAAAAAAAATAAATATGCTCTTCGTGTGATAATTTACATCAAAGACTCTATAATGGATGACTGAAAACCCCGAAATCACTTCTGTGACTCTTGAACCAGCTGTGGAGTAACAGCATCTTTCGTATATATCAGATCAGAAACTTAAATTGAAATTTCATGAAAATATCAAAGAATATACTTGGAAACGCTTACGGAAAAACGGTGTCGTTTATCTGTTGAAAAAAATGGGCTTGTTTCATGCTGTGGAAAATGATACTGATTTGCTTATAGACTGATCGAGTTACCGGTATATTATACTTAGCAAGCCTAATCAGTCCCAAGATCTCTTTATATTTGCAGAAAAAAGAATAATTCGAAAAGGAAGAATTCAAATTTGCCACGTGTCTGTTGACCAATAAAATTGATCGTGTCTAGAGCGGAGTTGCCAAGTGTATTGGTTTTTAATTTCCAATCACAGATCTTTGACAGACGCCAAATGTTAAAGCCTTCCAAATATTTGAGAATATGGTGGTTTACGGCTTTCTCCATAATTTTTGATATCACTAATATCAAAGCGACTGATCTATAGTTATTTGGAGAATTTTCCCTGCCCGTTTTGGGAGCAATCTCCCAAGCAGAAGGAAAAACCCCTTTTTCGTAAGACAGGACCAGACGCCTTGTTGATATTGACCTGTTTCAGAGCCGGATATAATAATGTTAGGTCAGACAGATCAGATTGGGGGTCATAATGGACACCATTATGTCTTGGCACAATCATGTAGCTGAAATTGTAAAGGCCGCTTCTCAAAAGCTTGGAACACTGTTCCAAACTAGAAAAATGTACACACTTGAGCAACAACACACTTGAAGCTTCATAAAGCTGAGAACAGACCTTCTTTGGAGTATTGTTCTCACATATGGAGCTCCGCCCCTAAGCATACCCTGAAGCTGCTAGATTCCATCCAAAAAACAAAATATCTGCTTGATTGGAGACCCAAACATCACTTGCAACCTTGATAGTCTTGAATAGCTACTCTCGCACAGGCACCGATTTAAGACCGTCTCAAAAATTTTCCTGTAGTGCTTGTGGTTCTATCATGCTGGTCGCTCTCTTGGTTTTGCTAAATAACAAAGTTACGGTTAACAATTGAAGTTCATCGATGGAATTTTGGAGTGGTTTTACTTCCGCAACCATCATAATGAACCATGAATACGTGGGGCGAGTGACCTAGACTTCAATTTTCTCATCATTCTATCGGTTTGGAGGAAAAATAATCAACATCGACTCAAAATTCATCTTATATGAAAAAAAAAATACTTCACCACAGTTCCTAACCTTCTTCTTTCTACAGTTTGCATTTCCCTCTCGTACCTAACCTCTTCGCCACGGTTAGACCTCCTCCTCTCTAACGGTCTGTCTCGTGTCCCCGTCTGCAACTCCCTGGAAACCAATAACGGATCTAATTCACGTGGCTTACTTTGTTTCTGAACATTACTGTGAGGTTTCGATTCAGATCCGTTGTCTGGACGGTTGTGTTTCAGACACGGCTGTAAAGTATTACCGGAAGAGCAATCTGCCTCTTGGGATGCTTGGGCGATGACTCTGTCTAGTTTCTTTCGAGCTTCTCGGAATTGGGTGGCGATTTCGCATAGATCTTGGGTAGACAGTAAGCCAGGGCGTTGCCTTGAAAAAAATCAATCTCAAGCAGGAAATAACATAATTTAATGAAAGAATGTAAGTTTGCACGGCTGTTTCGAAGCAATTGCGCCCATTGCAGCATCAGCTTCGTTAATGTTTACTGCGGAATCTCGGATAAGAACCCGCAGATCACGCCCGAAAAATAACTCTGGAAGACTACAATTTGATTCATAATAATGATAATGATGCATCTCAAATCGTCCGTTCTACGATTGTACATCCCTCAACATCAGGAACCCGTGGACTTTTGATGGTACTGGATGAAGCCTGTAAAGTCATCAGGAGTTTGGATCCCTTTCTCTGCATGTTCGGCCACCATGAGAGAGCAGAAATTGAAGCATTTCTCTCCAGGACAGCTGTCGAGCGGCTAGTGGACTCGATTTGGTTTTGGATACTAAACAAGGTGATCACAGCTCCGTCACCGAGTTGGAAGCCGTCTGGCAAAAAGCCCATATAAAAACCAAAGATGCGGCAACATAGGAATGAGCCAATGCATGGGGTCTTCTTCAACAACATTGAAGACCTGTACTCATCAAAGTACCTGACCTTCACTTTTCTTAGATTGAGGGGGCTGAAGTCGATAACTGATGGGTTCATCATGACTTATCAGGATGGTGTCCTCACAGTCCCGTGGGTTGGGCTACCTATCGGCGCGAACCCCAGGTGGCGGATAGGGGAACGGCCAGCGGACTGGTAGCTCTGTCCGGGAAGCCAATTTGGCCTTACAGACGGGGTCGCCAGACTCCTGGTCAGTGGCAGAAATAAGTAGGGTGAGGGGAACTAAAATTCCCCAAAAGCCTTTGCGAAACATGCCACCGTACACCAGCCTACCCAAGCTAAGGTGCAAGGAATTGTGCCGACAGCTGAATGGCCGCAGAGTGATATATAGCTACGAACGATCCCCTTGGGAAAACGGGCGAAACCTCATGGTAATCAGCTTTCCTCTGGTAACGCGGGGCTCTGCCAGAGTGATCAACTCTTTTTCTGCTACTCGTGGAAACACACATGAATGAAACAAAAACAAAAACAGACACTGGGCTGGCTGGGGATGAACAGAAATGTCCACCTCAATCTACCACTCGAAATGAGGATGAACATTGCAGATCACCTCGTGATATAATACATAGGCCAAGGAGTAAGCGCATTTGCGGCGCCGACGCCAAAAAAAGAGAGCTATAGAGGCAGTAGTGGCAGGAACTATAAGTGCAACCTCCTTCTCCCCCACTCCACCTACAACAGCAAGGGCACTTCCTGCGGCGGGCGCCAAGAGCTCCGCCTTGAATAGAGGCAAGGAACAGGCTGCCCCTGCAGAAACCGCCCTTACTTGAGCACCTCCACGGAGAGAATCCCAAGAATCCCAAACCTTCCAAAACCTTCACGAAGGCCGCCGTGAGATACCTCAAGGTTGCCAAAGGCTGCTTTAGTTATTGGCTATACAGGGGCATGCCGTTGCGATTGACTTCGAAAATTAGAAACAATCCATCGAAGAGGTACTGTTGATGGAATTCGTAGACTTCTTATTGCAAGGCACTTTCTGGTAGACGGTGGAAACTGTTGAATTTGTTAAAAAATATATTGGAGTTTCTGTTTAACAGTAGCTGAAAAACTAACGTATACCTTTTCGAGAGGATTGAGACTCTGTGCAATGTGGGCAGTTGATTTTCGTCGGAGGTTCCTGATGGCGTCTGCAAAATTCAGGTGTTTCAGAAATATGACATCAATTCGATGGTTGGAAGTGAGTCTTTTCAGTTTATGAATTGATGTTACCGTTATGATGAAAATTAATAACAGTATCCATGTAATACCCAGTCATCACTCGAAGACGATTGTGGATACAAGAAGTCGAAACGTCGTGAAGTAACTTCCTTTGAAATCTT